ATCCCAAACCTGCCTGGACGCCGTCCTGTGCCACTGCTGGAGGTGCCCCTGCTCTGGCGGGGGGGTTGGACTAGATGATCTCCAGAGGTCCCTTCCCACCCTGACCGTTCTGTGATTCTGTCACTGCACTCCGTGGTGGGCCGGGAATACGACTCGCGCTCGGAGGGCATTCTGGGCAGGTCTTCTCGGGAGGGCTGTGTTTCTCTGCAGCGTCACCCCCTCCTCAAGTGCCTCCCACATCTAGCTGGTCACAGAATACGCTGGTGTGGTTGCGTTCGTTGAAATGGTCAATTATGGATGTTGGGTTAACTTTTCCTTGGCTAGCCGGGAACGTTTGAGGAGGGCTGTCCGAGCGCTGCCTCCCTTCTCGCTCTCTGGAGGACGTGGCGTACTCACGTGCCACCTCTGCCTTATTTTTGTTCTGATTCGTAACAGCGTGGTGAAGACCCTGCTCGCAGCTAACGCCGATCCAAACCTTGGAGATGATTTCAGCAGCGTGTATGAGACTGCCAAGGAGAAAGGCCTCCATTCTTTGGAAGGTAATACTGTTTGTCTGCAGCTACCTGCAGTTTGCTTTTCGGGTCCCCACGTTGCGTTCCCTGGCTTTGAAATGGAAATTTGACCTCGTTTTTTTGTTGTTTTGTGTTTTTTTTTTTTAAATTCGAGCTAGCTTCAGCTTTCATTTAACTGCCGCGTAACTGACGGTACGTGGGTGGGGGTATGTTTGAAGATGAGAGGAAAACATGACGTAGATGTTTATGAGAAGCAGTCCTTCACCGTCCCGGAGATAACCCGGCGTTGTATAGCCGGGACATAACAGGAGGTCGCGGATAGGCGCGTCATCCCACTGACCCACACGCGGGCACTTGCTGGGGAAGGAGGAGGGTTCAAGGCGGTGCGTTCCGCCAGAAGCCTTACTCTAGAGCTCGTAAGTAGGTATAAAATGAAGAAAGATTTGGCCAATTATAAAAAAACCTGAACGGCGTAACTGGTTGTGATGACTGCTGCTGGGTTTGGGGCAGGCGTTAACGCCAGCTTGCCGCCCTTGAGGTCTTTACGTGCAGACGAAGAAATTTTCTGCAGCTTTATTTCGTCTTGTTACGATTTTTCTTGGCCGATGGATGTCTTGGGTTCCAGTCTCACCCTAACATCCCCATCGCTGGGGTGTTGAGGCAGACCCCACCCCGCTAAAATGTCCCTGGGTGTTGCTTTCCCTCTTCCAGTGGCCTTTTCCCTGTCCGAGCGCGGCACTGGCCCACCGGCCCCGGCTCGGAGCTGGCAGACCATGGTGTCCCAGCCGTCCCCACCACCCTGCCGGAGCTCAGCCGGCTGCCGGGGCTCGCGTTCCCAGGAACTGCTGTGTCCACAGCGACTTCGGTTGTGTGCTCTGAACTTCTGCATTGAATTGTGGAATTGGTTTGGTTGGAAGAGACCTTAAAGACGGTTGAGTCCAACCGTTAACCCGGCACCGCCAGACCCACCACTAACCCGTGTCCCTCAGCACCACCTCTGCCCCTCTGTTGACCCCCTCCAGGGATGGCGACTCCCCCACGTCCCTGGGCAGCCTCTGCCAGCGCTGGACAACCCTTTCCATGAAGAATTTTTTCCTGATATCCAATTGAAACCTCCACTGGCACAACTTGAGGCCATTCCCTCTCATCCCATCGCCTGGAGAAGAGCCCGTCCCCCCCTCGCTCCCCCCTCCTGTCAAGGAGCTGTAGGGAGCAAGAAGGACTCCCCTCAGAACCTCAGCCTCAACACCCCCAGGGCCCTCAGTCGTTCCCCACCAGACGTGTCCTCCAGACCCCTCACAGCTCCGCTGCCCTTCTCTGGACACGCTCCAACACCTCAATGTCTTTCATGTTGTGATGGGCCCAAAACTGAACACGGCGCTGGAGGTGGGGCCTCACCAGTGCCGAGGACAGGGGGACCATCACTGCCCCGGTCCTGCTGGCCACACCGTTCCCGATAGCGGCCAGTTGAGGTTCCACCTTCTCCTACCTCCTGTCAGGAGAAAGCTGGGGGAAACCACGCAGGTTGTGCAGAGGCTCTGTTTGCCCCGCAGAGCCGAAATCCCACGGTGCCGTTATCCGTCGGTCTGTCCGTGCGTGTTGGCCTCACCGCTGAGAGCCGAAAGCCGCGTAAAGTCTAACGAAGGCGTAATATTTGAACCTTGGCTAAAACACAGGTTGGGTCAGGAAGATGAATCAGCGAGGGGACGGCTTTGACAGGGCGTTATTTTCTTTTTCAAAGCTCTCGGCTCTCATCCCTCCTGCTCCGGGATGGGAGTGAGAACGCGCATCTATATATATCAGAGCGCCGTAGCGGTGGATGCAAAATGTATGAAAC